ATTTAGGCTGACCAATGCTCTAACCACTTGTATAGATCTGATGAATAGGGTTTTTAAACCTTATATGGATAAATTTGTGGTTGTCTTTATTAATGATATATTAGTTTACTCTTATAGTTCAAAAAAGCATGAGCAACATTTGATAATTATTTTAGAGACCTTGGGGTAAAAACAACTATTTGCTAAGTTTAAAAAGTGTGAATTTTAGCTCTCTAATGTGGCCTTTTTGAGGCATGTGGTGTTTAAGGATGGAATTTTCATTGACCCAAAGAAAGTTGAAACGATAGTAGAGTGGAAAAGACTAAATAATATTTTTGAGATTCATAGTTTTCTAGGTTTAGTCGGATACTATAGGCACTTTGTAAAGGATTTTTCTCATATTGCTATGCCTTTAACCAAATTGATCAGAAATGGAGTTCAATTTGAATGATCGAATAATTGTGAGAAAAGTTTTGAAGAGCTGAAAAAAGGGTTGGTTTCTGCTCATATTCTTACATTGCCTATTGCTGGTAAAGAGTTCACTATTTATAATGATTCTTCAAAGAATGGATTAGGCTGTGTTCTTATATAAGATGATAATGTAATTGCCTACATTTCAAGACAGTTAAAACCTTATGAAGAGAATTGCCCTACTCATGATTTAGAGTTAGCCGTTGTAGTTTTTACATTGAAAATTTGGAAACGTTATTTGTATAATGAGTCTTGTGATATCTTTACAAACCATGAGAGTTTGCAACACCTTTTCACCTAGAAATAGTTGAACATGAGGTAAAAGAGATGGCTAAAGTTGTTGAAAGACTATGACTTAACTATTACTTACCATTTCAGCAAGGCAAATAAGGGAGCTGGTGCTTTAAATAGAAAGTCTGCTAGGAATTTGGCTACAATAATAACTTCTCAAAGATAGATTTTTAAAGAATTGAAGAGAATGGATATTGATGTGCGAATACGAGGTTTTGGAGCTTACTTGACTAACTTACGAGTTCAGCCTAACTTAATTCAGAAGATTAAAGATGCTTAAGCTAATGATTTTCAACTCCAAAACATTAGACTTGATGTGGATTTTGGTTCAAAGCCAAACTTTAAGATTCATGATGATGGCTCTTTGAGGTTCAGTGATAGAGTTTGTGTTCAAGATAACTCAAAACTGAAAAGAAAAATTTTGGAGAAAGCTTATTATTGTAATTCTACTATCTATCCTGGCAATACAAAAATGTATAAAGATTTGAGAAGCACTTTTTGATGGAATAATATGAAGAGTGAGATTGCCTAATTTATTGTTAAGTGTTTGACTTATCAGCAAGTTAAAGCTGAACATCAAAGGCTAGTGGATTGTTGAAACCTTTCCCTATTCCAAAATGGAAATGGGAGCAAATTACTATGGATTTTGTATCTGGTTTACCTAAGACACAAAAAAGTAATGACAACATTTGGGTGATTGTAGATAGATTGACAAATTCTACACATTTCTTGGCTATTTGTATAGGAATGTCATTGGAAAGACAGGCAGAGTTATATGTTGAGCAAATTGTGAAACTTCATGGTGTACTAGTATCAACTGTATCTAATAGAGATTTTAGGTTTGTAGCAAAATTATGGGAGAGCTTGCATAAAGCTTTGGGCAATCATTTAAATTTTAGTACGACTTTTCATTCGCAAATAGATGGCCAATAGAAAAGCACTATCAAACTCCTAAAGCATATGTTGAGGGCATGTGTCATTGATTTTAGAGGTTCTTAGGATCACCATTTATCATGGGCAAAGTTTGCTTATAATAATAGCTATCAGTCTAACATCTAACTGGCTCCATTTGAAGCTTTATATGGTAGAAAGTGCAAACCTTCTATTTATTAGGATGATGTTAGAGAAAGACAACTATTAGGTTCAGATCTTGTTCAGCAAGCAGTTGAAAAAGCGTAGTTGATAGATAATATCTTCGAGTGGCTCAAAGTTAATAGACAAGTTATGTAGACAATAAAAGACATGAACTGGAGTTTGAGGTTGGAGATCATATGATTTTACGAGTTTCTCCAAGTAGAGGAGTTATAAGATTTGGAATTCATGAAAAACTTAGTTCACGAGTTTTTGTTATGTGGGTCTTTTTGAAATTCTTGATAAGGTAGGAGAAATAGCTTATATATGGGCACTTCTACCTTTTTTGGCTAGAGTACATGATATGTTTCATATTTTAATGTTGAGGAAGTATGTTTCGGATCCGAGTCATGTGGTAGGGTTAGCACCTTTGAGATTAAAGAAGATTTATCATATGACGAGCATCTTATATGCATTGTCGATAGAAAATAGTAGGTTTTGAGATGAAGAACTATTTCTTATGTTAAAGTTCAGTGGTGTAATCAAACCAAAAGATAAGCAACTTAGAAGTTAGAAGAGAATATGAAAGAGAAGTATCTTTATCTTTTTTAGAGCCACGATATGAGTTTAGAGGACTAAACTCCTTTTAAGGAAGGGATGATGTAATACCCATAAAGTTAGCCTATAATTTGAATTATATTATATGATTTATGATCTAAAAAAAATTTATTTATTAAATTTTTATTTTTTAGTCCATGTTTTGCCATAATTAAAAACTTGACCCAATAGAACTTTTATTTACAATAAAAGTATTTTATTAAAATGCCTTTTATTATACGGATAGTTTTATTTTATGATTTTTTTTGTCAGAAAAAAAAATTGGGTATTTGAGAGAAACTAACCTTCGAAAAGAAAAAGAGAGGAAAAGGAATGGCAAATCAATTCTAAAAATCTTGAATTAAGGTAAGAGTTTGCTTAAAACTCTTGAAATTTTCATGTTTTGTGTAATTTTCTACAAACTCCAACCTATAATTTTGCACCTTTTCATATTTAAAAATATTTTGACTATTTTTCGGTGACAATCTCTCAAAATTGTGGGTACCAATGGAAAGGTCTCTTCAAGACCTTTTCTAATGGTATGTGTGGCATTTCATTTAGTTGAGTAATTTAAGAAAATTTAGTGTTTAAATTTTTAGGTTTCTAATAGTTACAAACACCCAACTTTGAGCTATCGAAATTTCCTACTCCGATGGCCGATTTGGTCAAACTTTAAGTGCTTTTGATAGTGTGAAATGTGAACTTTCTAGTAATATAATTGGTTTGTTCATATGATATTTAGGGTAAGAGAATTGAAACCCCAAAGTAGGTTTCATGAATCTGAAATCTAGAAAATCTGGACTATTTGTGATAATTTGTCAAGTTTTAGCCTTCAAAACTTAGGCTTTTAGAAATCACTTTTACTGAAACAAAATTCTAAAAAGTAGTATTATATTTCTACTTTAAATTCATGCCTTTCTTTATCACTAGAAACTGTAAGATATTCGAGATTTTATAACTTAAAATAAGCTAAATAATCACAAAATGTGAAAATTACAGAATTTAAAAATTATCATTTTTAATTATTTTAAGAATTGTTTTCAGCCAATATTTGATTTATTTAGTTATATATTACATGAATTTTAGTTATATTATTTTTAATGAATTTTTACTTCTTTTAATATACTTTTACTAAGTTAATTCTATATTATTAATATTGTTAAAATGCTATTAAATTAACTTTAGATTTACAAAAATAATTACTACTAAATGTTAAAATTAAATATTTGTAAAAAATTATATTGCTACTGATTTTTATGTTTTAAATTTTAAATTTCATATTTATACATAGTTTTAGATATTTTGCTATATTAAAAGAAAATTTGTTTTATATGCCAAAAAATTACTTTCAAATAATTTCAAATTGTTGAAAAGATTACCACATAACCCAATTTGTTTAAGATGACCGTAGAAGGTTTGCTTTATTAAATTTATGTTTTTAGGACAAATTTTGATCTTTGAACACTTCTTGAATTATTAGAATACTAAGAGAATTGAATGATTTGCTACTTAAGTTTTGATTTAACGTATCAAGTAAGTGACTTTACATCCCTTTGGTTTTTATGTCCATAAAAAAATTAGCCTCAATATATTTAAAGTTGAAATATATAATATTTATTATTTTGTCAATTTATTTTGTAAATGAAGTTGATTATGCAAAATATATTTATGATTTCTTGTTATGAGTTTGGAATATGGTTTAGCATTATTTTGATTTTTGAATATGATTTTATAATAATATATTTATATATCCATCATTTGTCGAACTATGAAATTTTATTTCGAAATAATTATGAAATTTACTTTGTATAGATTATGTTTTAAAAAAGTTTATAGATATTAAATTTGTATACATTGGGTAATCTGAAAATATATTTTGATATTTTTTTGTCTCCTAGTATGATTATATTCTAACCTTGCCAGTATGAGTTAATTGTTAGCCATTTCAACTTGTAGTTTGTAATATCGATATTAGTTTCAAACTGTATCACCGATTGAGAATAATGATTTCTACTCACCATACCATCGGTAATATGCTTTTGTCCCATTGTAGTAAAGAGGTTATTTTTGTCCCATTAAACTAAATGAGTTTCTGTGATTTTTGTTTTGTCTCATTGCACTGAAAGGTTAAATATGATTGTTCAGTGCAACTACCAACTGTTCTGATATACCTTTGTCCCATTGCAATAAAGAGAAAATTCTAATTCTAACATATACCATAAGAGTTAAGTGTGATCGTAATATGTGACGAAAGACTAATAAACTTTATGATTTTGTGATATTTTATTTCGTTTTGAAATTTGAGATTATGATTTTGAGATATAATTTGCAAAAATGTATTTGATTACAAGATTACCTAAATTGGTTTCAAATCATTTAGTTACTATTTTAGCCTAAATATTTTGTGCCATATTTAATCCAACTGAGAATATATCGATCGCTTACTAAATGATTGTACTCATTCCTTTCTTTAATATTTTTATTATGCTCGCAAATATCTAAAAAAGTGATGTTTTGAAACTTTAGTCGTCGTTTTGAGATTTTTAGGATTCTCTTATATGCTTAGACATTTAAAGTTTTATAATTAGCTATTTATGACTTTAACTAAATATTTCAAAATTCATAGATTTTTAAGTATTTCATTTTCGTGTTAAAAGATACTACATGCTATGAACTTTTCGTTTTCAGTCTCGCTTGTCTCGTTTAGATTTATAAGTCTTAGTATGTTTCTTACCTTGAATATCTATAGGATCACATCTTGCAGGTGTGCTGCATCTATTATGCCTCGATTCGAGGTGTCACAACACATCCAGTAAATAAAAGAATGTTAGTATATTTGGGAGAGAAGAATCAATGAAGACAAACCTTTCTATAAAGCCATCTTCTTCCGGTGCCATCGATTTTCAGCCATATGTTATGCATTACAATTTCAGAAAATCCCAATTTTTCAACTGCTTCCTTTCAAGGAAGATGAAATTAATTTAAGAACTCTTTCAATCTCACCTCCTTTGCACTCATTCTCTGCATTATTTAAACCCCAATAAGAAAAAAATAACCAAGTTAGAGGCTAGAATAGAAACATTAAGGGTAGCAACCAGGCTTAATGAAATGCAATCATTTTCAACTTCAATTAATCTTGCCCAGAGCTCTAACTGAAATAGGAAACCCAATGGCAAAATTCTAACTTCCTTTAATAGGGTTAGTGACAATAGCTAAAACTTGCTTTATCAGGACGAATGGAGACTTCTCTTTGTTATTGCTGTTTGTAGTTTTAAGAAAAGGCAATTGCTAAAACCTGTGCTGCTAGGGATAAAGGAGGCTTCTCTTGGTTATTATTGTTGTTTGCAGTTTCATCCATCTGAATGTCCCTTGCAAAAATTTAGACAAATTCTATCATACCGTTACTATGTGATAAACCACCGTTATGAAAAAAGGGAAAATCAACCTTGCTTTTTCCTTTGTATATGTCATTGTATTTAACAAATGATCTGGCTCAAAATTAAGTCTACAATGAGAAATCAGAGTGTCAAAAACTACTCAAAAATTCATATATTCATTGTTTGAAGACACCTAGATTTGGTGCCAATGTTTTCTCCATGTAGTCACCCTCAGAGAGATTTTCATCCCCATCAAGCCCTACGCATAAAGCTTTATAGAAAGTTGAGCGTGGATCCTTAATCACCATATAGCCCTTTTGCTTTCTCTTGATGAAAAATTGAGTCAGAAACTGCTTCACCTCCTCATTGTATTTTTTGTAGAAACTATTGAAAGAAAATCAAAGTGAGTTTTGTAACTCATTCATTAACAATCTGCTAAGGATTGGGTCCTTTATCCCTTGAACTTGCACAATAAACAAATTAAGCTGCAATTAAAGCTTCTTTTGTCGCTAAATAAGTGTAAATAAAATAGGAGCACCACACCTTACTTTGAAATGAGTGATGGTCACTGAAGTCAAACCGATGAACATATATTGGTTCTATCAGCACAACAAACTAATAAGATTTTAGTCACAAGTGAACACAATAGTCAAACCAAAGTCCAACTCCATATTCTCATAAAGCAGAAGTAGCAATGGAGTTTCATGATAAGATGGAACAGTATTAAAGAAAGTTTAAACCAGGCATTATCCATGGTATAAAAATGAACCAAAAAAAAAAGGAAACAGCATTGACAGTGGTTTGACAAATTCCTAAACATTGGACTCAATCAACAACAGGGGCAGAATGCAAACCTAAATCCCAACAGTAAATTAAAACAACTTTGGGAAATGTAACAACTAAGGGCGATTCTTTAGTCTAGTCTAGGAATGAAATGAACTATCTAAACAAACAATTGATCATCTGCTATGCAAATTAACACAATACGACCTGATACTTTGAATTTAATCATTTAATCATTTAATCAAATGAATTTAATCATTCAATTAAATCTAACATCTGCATTAAGAATTCAAAACAAGCACTGTTTTGATTTAATCCAAGTTCTCAATTACCTGAATTTCCAATCACCTTAAATATACATGGAGAAATATCATATTGCCACATCTATATAATATGTCTCCTAGGCCCAAAGATCATTCAGTTCGAACCATATTACCCCTTAATATCCATTTCTAAGAGTTAAAATAGTTTCCATCACAAACAAGTTTCGACTATTTTTGTTCTATAGTACTACCAGTACTGCTGATTCTAAATTTGAAACATGCAATCATGTATAGTGATTCCTTTTGCTCCTCCAATACAGTCATCACATAAGTTTCCATAAAGTTAGTTCAGCTAGACATAGTCTATGCTTACTACTATTTCATAAACCAAACACACAAAGCAAAAGACAACACAAAAGCTAAAGAAACCCAAGAAGACTTTAGTATTGTGTCCAAATTCCAACCTCTCCTCCAATACGGGCACAAGAGGAGAAGAAGAATTTAACTCCCATATTTTTTGGTTAATTGAAATAAATCTATCCTAAAAAATCAACACTACAAAAAAATATGATGAAACATATATGGTAGTCAACATACTCCAAAATCTTCCTCCAAAGTAGCTTTCAAGCCAGTTCACTTAACAACTCCACAACTTAAACTACCATCAGATCATACAAATGGTGCGGTAAGACAAAGAAAATAAGAAAAAAAGAAAATGACATGCGTATCCTAGCAAATTAGGGGTCCTCCGATTAAATCTCATCCGCAGCCTGAAGGATGGCGTCGATGTTATTTGCGTTACCAAGCGAGGGTGGGAATGGGATCGCACCTGCGATTCTACTCGGGGTCCTCTCATGACCTTGAATAGTAATTTTGAGTTGCTTTCTGTCCAAGGTAGCTCGCACCAACCTCTCTCAATTTCTATAAACCCTAGCCATGGAATCTCAAGATCTTCCAAACCAATAGAAAAATTCAAATTATAAAAACCCTAGATTTTTACATAGAAGAGTAGAGAATTATTATTAAAAAAAAAAACCGAAAAAGGAGAGAAAAAGAAATGGAGACACCAACTATCAAACACTTCCACAAGTAATTAAAAGAGGTTTAAAAGGACAGAAGAGAAATAGGGAGAAATTAAAATCCGAACCTTAAGAGGTAACCATGAAGGAGAGGCAAATGATTGATCAATATGTAATCTTGCTACCTTCTTCTCTTTTTCTTTTTTTTCTCTTTCTCCTTCTCTTTCTACTTCCCCTTTCTTTCTCTTCATTTTTATCGGATTGTAAAATTGAAATTCGAATCTTAAAAGCCATCATGAAAGAGAGGCAAATGATTGAGCCAGACGTATTCTCGCTACTTTCTTCTCTTTCTCTTTCTCTTTCTCCTTCCCCTTCCTCTCTGTTAATTTATTGCAGATTGTATGGCATAGAAGTTTCGGATTGTGAAGTCATTTTTCTTTTCTGGCAAAGTCTCAAAGCTTCTGCTTTCACAAAGTCACTATAAGCTTCTTTTTTTTTTCCTAAATTACCCCTTACATTTTTTTAAGACATAGGTTATCTGTCCTCCAAATTCTAACATGAAAGAATTGCTTTTATATATGTAATAAATTTTAAAATTGATTTTGCTCATTCAATTAAACTTAATCACTTTTGTGTCGTTTTTGACATGTAATAAATTTTGAAACACTTGAAGGCTAAATTGAAAATCACGAAACCAGCTACACGCGTCGGCGTTGCGGATGGCAACTTGTGTCCAAAGGATACGCGTAAGTTTTTTATAATTTCAAAAGAGAAGTTAGTTCTTTCCTTGAAAACCTTGGTAGTAACAAAGAAAACTGAGAGTTGATTAATGAAAGAATTCGAGTAAGAAAAAAACATTTTCAGGCGATAGAGAGAGAGAGAGAGAAAAAATGGAAATAGAACAGAGGAAGGGAGGTGGTGGAAAATTGGTTGTATTTGAACGATGACCAGAAAAAATGTTGAATAGAAGAATCAGATTTTTTGGGGATCGAGAGGGGAGAACTGAAGCTGATCAGCTCATTGACTGGAGTCAAAACAAGTTATTCCGGTGGGCAATGGAGAGGAGAGAAAATTTTGAAAAAATCCAAATAAGAGGAAAAGTAATTGGTAAGATATTTGTTCTCTGAATTAATTTTTGCTTATTTTAAGGTTCTTTTCCCTTGATTTTGCATTTTTTGTTCAAATCAAGAATTTTCTTTCATTAATATGAGATTAAATTAAAAACTTAAAGATTTGTGACTTTTTTTTATGCATATGATGTTTGATAGTTACTGATAGAATTGAAAAGAAAATAAAATGACAAACAAGAGCACTGAGCAATGGATAATCAAGAAACGAGAAGAGATGTGCATTTGAATCTTTGAATTTTTGCAACAAAGTTGGCCAGGAAGCGCTTGGAACGAAGAGCCTAAGATTCCAAGTAAGTATAAGAATAACTAAAAAACCAAGATCAAGACCAATATGAGTTAGATTTTATTTAATTTTTTCTTCTTCTATATTTTGTCTAAACAAATCGTTCTTTTTGTTCCATATGTGTTAGCCTGTAATTGATGCCCAGATTTCTGAAAATGATGAGTTAGTTTTTGTGCTTGATTTTCATTAAAGAGGTAAAAATAAAATAAATAAAAAATAGAATCAGTCATCTTTAATATATAAGATGGCTCAATCCTCTAAAAGATGAAAATATTATTTTTAATTTAATTGGAATATTGGACATTCGAAAGTGGATAAGGTGTTTTCACTTGACATTTACCTTTAACATGTGGCAAGGAAAATTAGCACCGTCATCTAAGTTTCTTATGTTTATTAAATTGTTTATGATACCTCAAGTTATCAAATTAGGTGTAGTAAAATACATCTTAGTTAATTAGTCCATGAGTTTTATTCTTATTCTTTGAAACTAGCAAGATAATATAATTTCTATTGTTTCTGATAGTGGGTGATAGCCATTATATCTTCTTTTCTCATGTTACTCTTGCAAGAACAATAGGCCCTGAAACTAAACTTTACAGGCTATTCCTTTCAGCTCAAAAAGCATGGCTAAAGGACATAACCTTTTGATTTTTGGATTGAATCAAGGCCAAAAGCATATGCTAAGATTCTTGACCTTGCATAAGTGATTGCAAATTAGTTGGTGAAAGATTTGTGTGCTTTTATTTTTTCTTTTAACTTAACAATTTTAAACACAATACACTAACATAATACAAAAACGGTACAAAAAATATACGAAAGCGACATGGTTTAAAATTTTAGCAAAAGTTGTAAGTGAGTTTGATAAAAAATTTAAAAAATATATTTGATATTTGACATATCAATAATTTTCGTATTTTACACATGTTTAATGTGAAATGGACTCAACAATAACACACATATTATCAGAGTTTATAAAATAAGTTCATTAGATGCATCATGTGAATAATTGCAGCCTTGTAGGAACTTACAATGCAAATCAAGAATTTGTCTGTGTCTCTGCATTTGTTTAATGGCTAGAAACTATTCTGTTAAGAGTTTTATTTTTCTTTTTTCTAATTGATCAAACTTCAAAGTTCAATGCATCTGAGAATATTCTTTAAAAGACTGATTTAGAAATGATATGGTTTTATTTGCTTTTTTTTTTTTTCTTCTGTTTGCAATTTAATTTCGATAGCTTAATGGGTAATAGCTTCATTTGCGGGAGAAAGAAAGATACCAAAGATAATGGAGTAAGAAGCACGACAATGGGAAGATCACAAAGAAAAATGATTGCAGAAGAAGAGTTTTTGCATAGGCAAGTTTTATCCGTGACTCTTTATCAACACCAGTTGTCTTAAATATTTGATGGATTGATGTCCACGAGAACTGGCTCTACCAACCCTAGAAGTCCCTCTGGTCCATTAGCTAATAATGTGAAATGAGTGGGTTTTTTTATTAAATTACTTATCTTTGCTTCCTGACCGTGTTTTCATGTGTAATCACAATGTTAATCATTGTTTTAGTTGATTGGATCTATGATGGAAAGTTGGGTTTTGGTGATTGATTGTGAAACAGTAGCAACAATTAGAAAAAGTTGTTAATCATGTTGGAAAACAGCATTAGTCAATAGTTAAGCTGGTATAAATAAGGAACAAGAAGTTAAAAGTGTTTCTTTTGCTTTAAATTGGAAAACTTAAAAGGAGAACCTGGAAAAATATTCATTGATTCATTGTGTTTTAGCAATTTGTAACTTTATTTCTTTGAGTTAGTTTTCAAGTCTTTGATGTAATTTATCTTTGACTTTTATAACATTTATTTTCATTTTAAGTGGAATTCATCTAATTGCACAATGTTCTTATTATTTATGATATCGATACAAGAGGTTGAGAAGCCGGTGGAAAAGCTCTATGGATTACTTAAGAAACTCAAGGTATGTAAGATGATCACATCATTTTTAAGTGAGATTATTTTATCAGCGAAAGTTGGATTGAGATATTTTTGGTTTATGTTTTTGTATATTAAAATCTCTGGTTTACATGTGCTCGTGCTATCATATTAATGTCTGTTTGAAATGTAATGTTATCTCATTTATTGATTTTCAGTTGTTCATGCTAGAAATATGCTCTTTCCCCTATATTCCTTTTAGTTAAAACTAAGAGTGACTACAAACAGTCAACTCTTTTAGCTGTTGGATTGAAATCCTGTAGGTATTGGAAAAGGAAAAATGGAGGGAAAAGGGGAGGTTGAAAAATCGCTTACAAGGAGGTTGGTAAATCATCTGTGATACTTAAGGCAGCAAAAGATTGGATTAGGTAAAAAATTATTGATATGTCAAATATGAAATATAATTTTTTAGTTTTTTATGTCAAAGGTTGATATGTCAAAGACTGATAATAGATTTGGATTACGTAAATCCTTCAAAAGATTCGATCCAAAAGTAAAGAATAGCTAATTCTTTGTGCAAAAGGTATAAATTAAATTGACTTTATTTCTTCTAACATGTTCTTCTATGCAATATCATTCTTCCATGTACAAATTGTTGCCTGAACACTTACTGAGAGATGTATTTACACATTTCAAGAGATATGCACCTTTTTGTGTGAAAGAATTGAGATTGCTTTGTTTCTTTATATCAAAATAGCTTTATGTATCTTAGCTTCACCTCTTTTTATGTTTGCCTTGGTGATCTCACTCTCCATGTTAAGACCACTTGAAATTTTAGAAAGTGAAGCATCAGAAATAATTTTTATGGAATTAGTAACGCAATCGTACTTTGATATAGTCCAGAAGAACATTCAAGACTTAGTGCCAAAGGCAATAATGCACTTTTTATGGTAATTCTGTTTCGTTTTCCCCCTCTAGTTGGTCCATTTTAAACTTTTATTCTATTGAGTTTAAATTAAAATACGTTTCTTCCTTTTTATCAATGTGCTGGTATGTCTCTTGCTTTTGGTTGATGGTAATTATATCGTGTTTTAGTTTTCAGTTTGCAAAATACGTATAAGTTAAATGATAAAAGTTCTTCTGGCACTCAGTAGTTGTCCCTGACTATTTTCCATGATGGCATGTATGTTTCTGCTTTCGCATGCAGAGAACAATTAATTGATGTGTAAACTTGCAGTCTAATTAATTTTATTTATATGCAAACTCCAATTATATGTGAAAATTTAAGGTTTGAGCGATGATAGTTTACCTATTGGATTCATTTTAGATTTCACAATTGATACAAGTTTGTGCAATGTGTAATGAATTTGAGGTTCATAGCATTGTCATTCGAGAAATTAGAGACTTACATATTTTATTTTCATTATTAGAAGTTGTATTCCAAGTTTTGAAAATGTATGTATGTTCTAATTTCATTGCTAATTGTCTTTATTATGATTATTGCGTTGTTTAGCTGCATATTCTTATCTCAATCACTTTGATAAAGTTTAAAAAGTATTTGGCAATAAATTTATAATTTAAAAACAGAAAAAATAGAAAAAGGAAGGAAAAAATTATATAATATAAACCCCGACGTATACCTTGGGTTTCATATACTAGTAATTAATTTAATTTTGTTCATGTTTTAGTCAATCGCGAAACTTTGTGAAACTTTAAAAAACGAGAATCTGGTTTTTTCCAAAATTTTTCAAGCTTTACAGAAATTATATGATTTTTAAGTTAATTAAAAAAAAGAAAAGCAAAAATCAAGGAAAAAGTCGAAGGTTAACCTAAAAGTTAATTAAGTTAAACTTGATGGAATTTGATCAAATTTAGATCATTTTTAGGATAACCGAATCAAGGCATTGGATCAGTAAAGATTTTAAAGTTAATCTTTAGTTTTGAATCAAAATAACCCTGATGTTTAAAATTTTTGTTGGACCTAAAAGGAGGAAAATTACAAAACTATTTTTTAGAGTACTTCGTAGTTTAATATTTTTTATATGAATTTTTAATGAAAAGCTTTTGATTATAATTAATATTATTTAGTAATTTTTGATATATTAAAAATTTTGATTGTAAATCAGTAAAATTATGAAAATATCTTTTAATAATATTTAAATATGATTTAGCTAATTTTTTTAATGTGTAATTAAACTTTCAAGTTTAATTCTATTTTCAAATATTAAAATGTTTTTTAAAAAAACTTTAAATTTATTTTTGGTTTTATTAAAAAAATAAATTTTTTAAGTGATCAATTATATCTTTAAAAAAAGATTAATGATGATTTTTTTTTATTTTTTTAGATTTTAAAATATTTTTTATGTTCATTTGTCGGGTTCCTAAATTTGCAATAACTTTCCATATTGCGATAATTCTCGTACAACATTATTTTTGGGTATATTATCACGTTATCATTTAAATAAAAATTTAAAATAATTAAAAATTCAAGAGATAAAATTTTGGCTTTTTAATTTAAAATTAAAATAATAATTAATATATTCATAAATTATAAAAAATTTTAATATAATAATTATATTTTAGAAGTTTTTAGTGTAATATTTTAACGTGGTACTTAAATTAAAAAAAATATCTAAAAGAGAAAGGGGAAGGGGCGGAAGGGAGAGAGAGAGAGAGTGCCGAGGGGAAAGGTGGCGGTGTCGCAAATACGGATCAAGCAACCTTACCAAATCAACGCCGACCTGTTAGGTCCAAAAGATCAAACCTAATCTCGCCTGGCCTCATCAACAACCCTCCCCTTCCCCTGCCCCTTCCCCCCCGGTATCTCTTTCCCCTTCCCTCCTTTCGCCTCTCTTTTTGTATTTTTTTCACATTCTAAGTTTTTTACTTAATCAAAATATTCAATTTTTTTTAAAATTTTTCATATAATTTTTGAAAATTTTATAAAAATTTCATTTTTTCTTAATGACGTGCAAATAAATAATACAACGATAATTAAATATTTATGACACATATTAAAATTTTATTAAATATTCATATCATATTAACTACTTACCTAACGATAATAATGTGAAATATCAAAATATTTGACATAATACAAATTTAAGTATTCAATTATAAATTTTATTCTTTAAATATTAAATAAATAAAAATATATAATATAAAAATCAAATGAATATTTGACCGTTGGTATATCCAAATTAGAACTAGTGGAAAATTAAACAGTTCAAATGGCAGACAAAATTGTGATCAAAGTCCAAAATCAAATAATTTCTTCGTATTAATCCTCTTTCTAGTGTTTTATTTGAGCCTTTTGTTTTATCCTATCGTCAATTGTCTTTGTCTCATTGTCTGAGTCGCATCATGAAGCTTCCAATATTTCTTTCTTGCTTAGCTCTCTTACCTAATTTTTACGGAATATATTTTTGTTATTTTTCTTGCCTCCTAATTTGATAATAAAAGGAATAAAAGATTTTATAAATAAATTATGGATTAGATTTTGATTATTAAGTTGTTAGGCATGCAAGCTGACATATGTACACTATATAAAATGATTGAAAATGAATATATATATATATATAAGAAAAAATCTTAATTTTTTACCTCTATTCATTTGTTTGTTTATATAAGATTTTAAATGTATTAAATGTATTCATTTAATTATTTATTAATAAAAAAGAAATATCTAAACCATTAAGCACATAGAAGATATGTAATTGGGATAAAAATCAAATTTACAACTACTTGCTTATGATATTAGGACAAATTTATCATCATTGATTCAATTTTAATATTATATTTTTAATTTGATCCTAGTGGTCAAAACCTACCCACATTTGATCAATAGAATATTCCGTTGCTTTCCTATAATTTATTCCTTTTAGCATTATTTTTATCATTTTTAATAAAATTAAAAAAAATATACATTGCTAAATTAGAACCAGTTTAATTTTAAAAAGGATAGTAAATTTGATCTCGCATTGTGAGTAGAATAATAAATTTGGTCCTTATCCCAAGCAGTTTTATAATTAATTGAATTGTTTGAATGGAATTGAACATAAATTTACATGAATATTGACAAGAAAAATTTTATGTAGTTGGAAAAAGGAACTCACAAAAACTTTATTTAATTAGCAACTAATTTTTTTTATTTTGTATGAGATCTCCCCTTGTCTAGTAACTACTTTAGATCTCAATTAATTTAAAGTAAAGTTGGATTGATCTCATAAAAAGAAGTAAGCTCTTCAAATTTATTTTTTCTATTTACAAGATTTAAAATCGAAATTTTATTTAAAGAAAATCAAATTTCTTATCACTTGGACCAACGAAGTGTTGGTAATTGACAATTAATTATTGTTATAAGCTATTTGATGTTTTCACTAAAAGATTTTATTTTAAGTTTTATATAATCACTAAGAATTTAGTAATTTAAGTGACCTAATATTTTCGGTTTTAGTTATAATTTTAGTAAAAGAAATATTGTGACAAAATATCTACCAAAAAATTTGTGACATAATATTTGAATTTACAGAAAAACTAAAAGGAGCAAGATCAAAGGGTAACATAATTTCACATACACAAATAAGATCATTCACATGTTTAAAACAAATATGATAATATTATTGATTTTTGGATTAATTAGTATAATATTAAAATTAGCGTTCGAAAATTATATATTCAAAAGAATTTATATGAATGATATCTTCTTTAACTAAATAAATATAAAAATAAAAATGATTCAAAGACACCTTAGAAATTAAAAAAAAATTATGATGATAAAAGAAAAGGAGAAATTTAACTAAAATTACAACCCTTTTCAACAAGGTTTAATTATAAAAAGTTGAGACTTTTAATCACTTTTCCTATAACGTCTTTATTTACAAAATAATCGAGACTGTACTCTCTTTTAAAAATATAAAAATATATTAAACCCAATTGATTTTTGTTGAAAAAATTCATAGATTTATTATGTTAATACAATTTATGAGAAGTCGAACTATGGGATAAAAGAGCATTACCCTGAAAAAAGGCTAGATGATTTCAAATTAGGATTGTTCTTTTTTGTTTTAAATTGAAAATAAAAGTTAAGAATTTAGAACCCCTTGTGGATTGGGGAATTGACGTGCTTACACTCTGACAATAAGATTTGCTCAACGGGGATTCGGTGAAATTAGCTGAGTTTTTTTTTTTTTTTTTTTTTTTCCGTAATGAAATGTCTGGGTTCAATTTTCAGTAATAATTAGTTATTGGTGTTAACCTTTCAAATATAATTGATAAAAGAATTAAAAATTTAACTCAAATAATTTATTCAATTATTTTTAAAATATGATATTTAAAAACTCTAAAATTTGAATTTTATTGTTCGAAATCCATTCTTCTACCTACTAAGTTATGACTTCTTTTACAAAAAATAGCCAATAAAATTTTTTGAATAACCATAATAAAATAATTTATATTCAATAAATTTTATCTTATTCCAATTTGATAAAAATAATTTTTTTAAAAATAAAAATCGAAGGTATGTTAAGTATTTTTTAAAAAATGGGTTATACAGAGGTAGATTACATGGTATTATGCTCTAATCCACTTAAAAATATATAAAATATATATTTTTTATTATTTAATTTAATGTATAAATATATTAATAAATTTATTGTTTAATATTTAAATTTAATAAAAATATTATATTTTTATATAGTTAAGATTTAATTTATATTAAAAATAATATTTTTATGAATATTATATTAAATTAAAATTATTAAATTAATTTTGAATCATATATGAGTTAAATACAATATATATATATATATATATATTGATTATTAAAAATAATAATTCGATGTTTGACCAAATAAAATAAAACCTTTTTAAAATCAAATGAAAGTGAAGATGCACAAAAACCCATGCCGTTCCGTTGTGATCCATGTTTTTGAGGAAGGGACATTTTATTCTTGGCCTGGCGATTGGAATAACCTATTTGCCGTCTAATCTTTATCCCCCAAAAGATTTAAAAAATAAAAAAAAAAGAAAAAAAAAGGAAAGAATCACTCAAATCCTGTGGATCAGACAATTACGATGACGAGAAGTATGGAGCTAGCGTAGCAGCTGCCATGGATTGACTAAAAAAAAGGCATAAGTTTGAACAATTGGCAGTCAAAAGTCTTTAGCATTAGCAATCACCAAAGACCAAACAGCCACCAGATCCACGTGGATTCTATTCTTATTCTTCATCAACACATCTAATTATTCTTCTTTGCACCCTTGATTCATCCCAAAAATTTTATCTTTATTTGACTACTATGTTAAAAGCTTATTTTAGACAAAAAATAAGCTTATAATAAATTTTATTTTAAAAATTGTAAATCTTTTATAATATTGATATTCTATGATGTTTATTAATAAAAATAACAATATTAAAAAAATAGATTTTAAAATCTTAAGGTCTAAAATTTAAGTGCTATTGTATGTAATTTTCATTCATTAGATTTATGCAGCTATATACAGATTTGAGTGTTGTTTTGTTTGTTTGATTTAATTTATCAATTTTTATGCAAAATATAATACTTAATTATAATTATAACTTCTCTTTATACTAATAATCACTTCATTAAAAAAAATTTATATTATTTAGCATGTAATTAAAAAATAATTCACTCTACTAAATAATATATGCCTATACATATTAAAATTCATCACATATATACTTTTGTATCATTGTTTTAGCATAATTATTATTTTTTATTTAAAAATACTATCTTTTACTTATTATTTTATTAATTTACCATTGAAACATTATAGAATCATTTCAAAAACAGCATTATTAAATTATAATTATAATAATTTAATTAGTTTAATAATAATTATATAATAATTTTTATTTTAAAAATATGATATAACTTTTTAAAATAAATTAAAAATTAGTTTACCAAATATTAATTTTCTATATGTATAGAAATAATAATCATAGCAATTCAAGATTAATAAAAAAATTATTTAATTATAAAC